GCAAATTTTCGTGAGTTGGGCGCGAGTTGGGCGCGGGCATGTGTATACAACGAGTTGATTGAGTTGGTGAGTGGGGAACCCCGGGGACCGGGTGTCATTATGGGTCAAAAATACCGGGCGTCCGGGAGAACACGCGGCAGCTCGATGGGTTGCCTACGCACCGGACCGGCGTACAGGCGCGGAGGGGTGGGCGAGGTAGGCGCGGGGGAGCGGTGGAGGTGGCGGGAGGCGCCTGCACGCCAGTGCGTAGGCAACCCATCGTTCCCGGTACGAACATGCTGTGATTATTGCTGACATAACTCAAACTATGGCGCTGCCTGACTGCCAGCTTCCTATCTGCGGAGCACGGGTCGGCGGGCGGGCCCTTCAGAAAATGAGTTGCTTGAAGTGCGGCGCATAGGGTATTCCGCTGCAAGACAATCGGAACTTAAAGAAGAAAAGCATGACTGCCCGATCTGTTTCTTCCTCGACGCTGATTGGTCAACGATGGCGTCGGTGTGTCAGTCAGCCAATGAGAACGCAGGAGGATCTAGCAGTCATGTTTTACTTCTCACGGTTCCTGTTTTCCTGGAGCGGAATATCCTATTGAGGGGGGAGGGGGGGGGGTGTCCCGCCCGAACTGCGCTATAACAATACAACAATAGTTCCCTTCAAGAGGACAGGGCGGAGCGACCGAAGAGGATGAAAGTCCCCCTCCGGACAGGACAGGACAGTTGCCGAGCTTAAGCGAGTACGAAAACCGTTCTTAGCAGTATTTCTCGGCCATCTTGATTAACAGGACAACTGTACCCCTTCTGAGTTACAGTGCAGCGCGTGCTGTAGAAGAACCCGCCACCATGCGGGTGGTTCTACCCTTTCTGCCCTTCCTTTGTTGCCGGGCCAGTGCGGGGAAGGACGGGCAGGGAGCAGTTCGATGCTCACACCTCACATTCGCCGGTCCCATTCCCATACCATGGAGCCCGGCGCGTCCGCCGCGGGGCGGGAAGGGGGCGCGGGGGAACACCTCCCGCGAGGTGGCTGGCGCCGAAGGCTGGCCAGGCTAGAGTCCTAGAGTCCTAGAGGGCTCTAGTGACTCTAGCCTCGGCTCTAGGGCGATGATGCACGCGTCGTGACACGTGCCGACGTATCGACCAGCCGCTCTCCGAGTCGGGGCGCCGCGTCGCTCGACGAGTAGACAGATCTCCACGCCGCACTCCGCCCTCCGCCTGCCTTCGAACGGCAAATGACTGCCGATCGACATTGACGGCAACGGCGGCCCGCGGTGTGGATCTGAGGTATATCCGAAATGCAACATACCCCCACGCGCGCCCAAGATCTACTTCCGAATCGAGAACACTTGACAAGTTGTGGCCACACTTCATCTGGAGTCACGACGTCCTTGCGCAATCGGCTGCTCCAGGAAGCCCATATCCCGTTCCAGCGGCAGCGGGCCCTCGGCCCTTCTCGGTACTGCGTCGCCAGGTGCGCCAGCCCGCCGGCGGCGGCCCCTTTCCTTTATCCAGGCTCTCCGAGTCTATTTTTGCGTTACCTAACGACCCCCGGTCAGAATGTGTTCGCATTGAGGGCGGCGGTCCTCGCAGCCCTGGAGGGGGTTGCGCTCCAAATATAGACTGTATTTGCGGTTGTCCAGCTTCGGCGGCGGCGGCGGCAGAGCGCTGCGGGGAACACTGCGGCCCAGTCCCAGGCAAGGGGTGGTGGTGGTGGTGGGGCACGTTGCAGTTATACAACACAACCCCTGTGCTCGCCTAGAGCTGAGCCAGGAGGGACGTCCGGGCGGCACCAGGGGTGGCACCAGGACGGCGGCCGCCCCCGCCGCGCCTCGGGCAAGCAGGAAGGTCGCCCGACCCGGGCCTGGCCGCAAAAACCACCAAAAAACCTTCACTTCCCGACTCCATAACTTCCTTCATTTGATCGGGCGTGGACGCCGACTTCCCGGACCCTCCGGGCGGCCTCGTGCCCTCAGCCTGCCCCCGCCCCCCGCCCCTCACAGCCTCGTGCGCCACCGCCGCCGCCGCTACTTCAGAAAGGGGGTGTTGGCCGCCGCCACCCCACAGCCGGCCACGGCCGTCCATTTGACGGGGGCGGCTGGCTACTGGCCGCGGCCGCCTCCGCGTGACCCAACCGAGTGGCAAAGGCCACAGCTCACGGCCCGACAGGCACGTGTGAGGGCGGTCATGGCCCTCGGAAGGGGCAGCCTCTGCTGCCGGAGGATCTCGTGCCAGACTCTGCGTTTAAATGTTATATAGCGAGTTCGTGAAACGCGATTTCCGAAGTGCTGCAAGCGATTTGAGATGGGGATGGGGATACGCAGTTTCATTGGCAGAATCGCGTTTCTACTAATTCGTGTCGGATTCCATACCGAAAGTTTCAAATCTACAGAGGCTGCAGTCGGATTTTACTGGAACCACGAGTCAAACCTGTTGCAAGTCGGGAAAATCCTCTCCCGTGAAGCGATACGCATACAAAGTGGATTCTGGGGATCAGAAAACTTCCCGCGCGACTTGCGAAATCGCGTTTTGCTGATGCGCATATTGCTCACTGCATGTCCTCTACGGAGGACAGGGACACCGCTCCTCGCCCCGGGTCGGGTTCGTGGGGCCAGCGGCATAGGCGCGCTGCTGATGATCTTGTGAAACCCCCCGGGGGGGGCGGTAAGCAGATCTCCATCACACTGTACTCCACTCCGGTGTTGTACACCTTGCCGGCCGCGGGGCACCCCTAGGATGTCGTCGAGCGGCGTCGTCTCCCCCCGGCTCTGGTCCTCCCTCTCGGGCGGGGTATATCCCAAGGACGTCTTTCCCGCGCGGGCCTGCCTGCTCGAAGCCTCACTGCCCGCGGCCCGGGGCGCGGGCGCGGCTCGCGCGGGCACCCCGAGGACGCCTCTTGCCGGCTAAAAGTCTCCCCGCGGACCTCCTTCCGGGGCGAGGACGCCCCGAGGACGCGGCGGGCGGCTGCTCCTCCTCGAGGCCACCCCAGATGTGATTACGGGAGGCCCACTACGTAACCAGGCCGAGCAGGCCCATCCCCTTCACGAGTCGATGCCTCCATTACCTAACGCTAATAGGGATCCCGAAGGGACCTCACGCAAAAGCGGAGACGTTGCGTGTGCAGCCTCTGCTGCTCAACCCTACCCTTTTCTCCTCCAGCACCAGGACAATGGGGGGTCGCCGCTCCTCCCCCCCCCCCCCCCGCTGGACCTTGTGTCCCACAATGGGGCCGCGCACCGTGTCTATCTTTAGCCCGCTGCGCTGTCCTTCGCGGCCGCGCCGCCCCATCGGGTCCGGGCGCGCCGCCGTCCAACTGCTGCTACTGCTGCAGCGGCCGCTGCGGCTGCTGCTGGTGGAAACAATAGAGGGGTTGGTCTTCCCCCTTCTCGAAGCCCGCCGCCGGACCTGCCGCCGCCGCCCCCGCCGGCCGGACGCGACGGAGGAGGCACCCTTCCCCTCCTCTCTCGGAGCGGGCGCGCACCCCACCCTTCCCGCGCGGCTCCGCGGCGCTCGCTCGCCCGCGCGCCCCGCGCCCCCTCCTCCAGCCACCAGCCCGTTCACGCCGGCAGTTCGCTTGTGGAGCCGGTCGAGACAACGTTGACGCACGCTTGCGCCTCTCTCTTTCTCTCTCCCCACAGCTACCGGTGCGCCGCGCGCCGCAACGCCCCATCGTTGCGCCGTCCTGCACCTTCCTTGCACCTGCGCGTTGTCGTCAGTTTCCCAGGTGAGTGGCATTGATGGCTGTGCACCTGCACCTCCCCTGCACCTGCGTGCCGCCAGTGTTGTCGCGGACTCGGGACACCCAAGGGATTATCCAGAAAGAACGGCCGCCATTCGCCGTTTCGAAACTGCCAAGTTCATTGCAAGCCCGGATAGCGCCTGGTAGGTAGGCAACATCTTGCCTACGGAGCATGCGTGCGCTGCGGGGTGGCCTACCCCGAGTCTCGCAGGCGCCGAGCTCCCGTAGGTCGCCGTCAGAGACTGAGAACAACGGGCGTACCGGGTGATTCAGAGAAGACGCAGGTGCGGGCGGGTTTGCCTACGCATGGAGCCATGGCGCCTGGCGGGCAGAGCGAGCTGGCAAACCCTCCCGCACCTGCGTCTTCTCTGAATCGCCCGCCACTTCCTGGACGATCCTCAAGGGACTTCTCCTTGAGCCGACTCAACCTTGTTAGAACGTAACGATCCTGTGAGATTGGAACGATTTGTACTTTCAGGAACCAACATTTTTTACTCCTCGGACTCGTGGCTCCATGCTGCAGCAGAAATGGGTGATTGTGATTGTTCTTCATTCCCGTAACCTGTGCTCAAGCGGTGTTGTCAAATTTCCGGCAACTGACTGAAATCATCATTTGCCAGTTCACCTGCGCTCAAATAGACCAACAGTTTGTCCGCCACAAAATTTTGTGATTTTCCGCCGTCGAACTACCATTCGAACTTCGGCCGTTTGCCCGAGACCCACCCAGGTGAGCAGCTCGGCTCAGCCACTCGTAAAACGCGAGGCAAGACGAAAGCTGTCTCGTCACGTGTGGCCAACGTGACGGGACGCTGCCCCGTACCGGCTCCGAACCCCATCCCCTCCCCTTGCTCATTCACTCCCGCGCCCACGCTCTAGCCTAGCTCGCTCTCCTCTCCCCGCGATCTCACTCCCTCTTGCTCGCTCTTTACGCGGCGTACCCCTTTCTCGTCGTAAACGCTACAGATATTATTTTGTGTGCAAACGTTCGTGCTAAGTTAAACCTACTTTTCTATATTTCGTTTAATACCAATCAAAGCAGAAATGTGCAAAAAATTGATTCCTTAAATTCTCTCTCGTTCTCCCTTGCTCGCTCTCTCGCTTTTGCTCTCACTTTTGCTTTTGCTCTCTCGCTCTCTCGCTCTCGCTCTCTCGCTCTCGCTCTCTCGCTCTCTCGCTCTCGCTCTCTCTCGCTCTCGCTCTCGCTCTCTCTCGCTCTCGCTCTCGCTCTCTCTCTCTCTCTCTTTCTCTCTCTCTCTCTC